CTCATCTCAAGCTTCTTTTCTTACAACCAGAAATTGCTGTCATTGCTCTAAGTATCAGTGCAATGTATGGGTAGGGGAGAAGAAGACTAAATACCACTTAATTATTCTATTGATCTATTTCATTTTAAAGTCTTTTTTCTAGGACCTGCTGCAAGCACTAACCTTTTTCTGTAATTACCACTAAAGAACATTGACAAGAAACAGTCCTGAAAAATTATGAACTCTCTGAAGATGACATCTGACAATGAGCTTAATTATTCATGAATAGCCTTTGAAGATATCTAACTGTTTCTATAAGGCTAACATTGACAGGTCCCTACTCACATGCCACTTTCATAACATCTGACATATTTTTCTATTTTCAGTAAGTTAATCTTTACTGATAGGTAGGATGGACTGATTTTCCCTGCTTTACCATGGAAAACCAGGTGCGTAGAGAAACTGAAGACATAATTTTCAAACTGATCTTTTTCAGAAATGACTTGGCTCTCTACCCATGGCACTACTTCAGAAAGCTTGGTCAGCCCTCAAAGTTGAGGTTGCCTTCCAGAAGCCTGATGAAACATTACAAGGACAAGGCCAGTACTCAGAGACTGCACTTGCATCACTTTGTAATAAATAATATTTCTTAGTATTTTGCTGAAGGAGGCTGTATTTATTTTAGTGTTCTATGCTGTTTTCATATCACTCCCACTTTCTACACAAATGTCAAATACCATCCAAGTAAAAAAAAAAAAAAATCAGTCTACAACTTTAAATATACAATGGTAACATTATAATATTTATCAGCCACCTCTTATAACAACATTACAAAGCTCTCAAGTTAGTTTGATTGGAAGCACTTTTCTATCAATTTGTTGACACTCGTTAGTTGTTTTCAAATTGTTATCAGTCCAGTACCCCCATCATGGTTTCTGCTATTTTTCCTATGACTAAGATCCAACGGACTTATGGTTGGCAGTGCCCACTGAAATCCTAATGGGTCTAACAGGTTAGCTTCCTTTCTTTCTTCCTGGGGGCTTCCCCAGTGGCCACAACAACACTCACCACTACAACCTCTCGGCCGCACTCTGTTTCCTGGAGCAAATCTATGCATTTTCAAATGTTTAGGTGCAATTCAGCAATCTTTGGATTTATTACCAGAGGGGAAGATAAAGAGTCATATGACATGGCTATGACATCTCTCTGCTTTGTATCTATAGATATCCTTAAATCTCTTCTCTGCTGTTAGTGAGCCAATGGCACTGGTAGGTGACCAGGAGCACAGCTGGGCTGAGAAGCGAAGGTGGATTTTTATTCTTAAGAAAGCTTAGGGCTCAAGTGTTTAATATCTTATCCCACTCCATGTATTTAGTATCTCACCCTATGGAAAGAGCTGTATCCACTTTTCCAGTTAGAATTTTATGTCTTATATTTGTCACTCTCAGCCTCCCCATTCTTCCACTCATTTTATATTCACAGAGAGAAGGATTATTGTTTTAACAGTTCCCTCTCAGCCAGGATGTTGTTGTTTTTCTTGAAAGTAATGAATCCATATTCTTTCCCAGTTATGGCTTATTAGGTAACCTGTAAAATAGTCTTAGACATTTTACAATTAAAATGTACACTTTTTCCCCCAACTGGATTGCTTTCCGCTTTGTGAAATTGTATCAGCTAAAGCTACTAATTTGCATTTTGTTTGCCTTGAACAAATATAATCAAGTTATGAATATTTTTAGTTACTGTACTACTAATTTTCGGTACTGTGGTACCTCCCCTCTGCTGATGCAAAAGTCTAGTCTGGACTTTCCCTAATACCTGGAGCAATCATTTTAAGAAAGAAAATTAAGGATGTTATTTAGTGATTCTGAAGATGCTTCAGTGCTGGCAGCATGAAACTGCCAGCATATGGCATTTGGATTAACATCTCCCACAAAAACTGTAACTTTCTTTTTCCTCCTATACATTATAGATAGTAACTGAGAGAGTCAGTCACCCATTCCCCATAAAAAGTAGGGGTTTATTTCTCTCACAGAGAGAAACTCCTACTCCACTTTGCACTTTTCACAGTCAGAAGTCAGTCCATGAGATAACTTCTTTGCCATTTGTCACTAGTAAATTAATTAATCATGCTTTTTTTTTTTTTGTCATAGTGTGCCATTTCTCATCGCCTTCTGTCCACTAAACCTTTCTTAAGAGATTATAACCAGTGATTTAAAGATTTCAGTCACCAGAAAAATTCCCATCAAGTTCCAGCAATGCCATCTCTATTGAATTTATGCTCATAAATGAGCAATTCCGGTTCCTCTGTTTATTATCTAAGACCCTCGCATTGGCTTAAGCAGCTTTCTCCTTACCATGGCCTTGGGCATGTGAGTTGGTTTTATTCACCACAGCACAGCTTGGGGTTAAATAGATGCTCATTTTTTTTCCTGACAGTCCCTTTCTCACAGAGGCAGAAGCAGGCAGGGTTTCCCCCGGCAGGCTCAGAGGCTGTCTGCTCACCAGGAAACCTCCAAGAAGGGGAACCTCCCCAACCTCCCTTCTACCCTGCAGCCAAAGGCAAGAGACATTAAACAAATTTATGCCTGCTACCTTTCTTCGGCATGGACAAGTGAGTTCTGTCATTACTCTGGTTAATACTTGACTGTGTCCTGCTTTGCCTACCTCCCCCCCCTTAAAAACAAAACAAAACAAAAAAAATCTTGCTCCTTGAGTAGTTCTTGCAGCTCAGAGGAGGGTAGACAGGAATGAACTTTTAAAGAGAAAATAATTTTTTGTGTGTATCCATATCCTTGCTCTTAACTTTCATTCTTTTTAGAGAATGTTACATTAAAAATATCAGAGGGCAGCTAAAGGTTGAAGGTTTTTTTATTCCACATAAATTCAGGCATTAATGATGCAGTCCTGTCTTTGATTTCTAGTATGATCCCAAATTTCATCAGGATGGTTATTCTGCATAAGTAATCAAAACTACAGAAGCCCATTCTTGAAATCCATGCTGTGTCTTACTAGAGAGGTATTGAACACCAAATGAGAATGGCTTTAGCACTCTCCTGTTAATGCCTTGTAAAATGGTCCTTTTATAGGATATGCTTTAAAACAGGACCAACTATTCTTACAGATTGCAATATAAATCGTAGTGTAATTAGTACTTAACAGCAATAATGAAAGTGAGAAAAATAGTGAAATAAATTTATTCTAAGTAATTGCATTTCCACCTATTTATTTATAATCTGCCACTTTTGGATCTTGTCATCTTGCCAATGCTGTAGCACAATGTTCCTCTACTAGCCCCTTTATACAGCTTTGTAGAATAGCTGCAGTATTCCCTGACTCTTAGAACAGAAGTGGTTCCTTCCTAATCCAAATTTCCTAATGGCTCAACATTTTGTGCTGAGAGATCTTACATCTTCTTGGGAGATCAAATAAGCAACTTTTCAGTTGAGTGTCCTAAAGGAACTATTGTCTATACAGCCACTTTAAAAGCCAGAACTTTTTTTCCTCCCATATCTGAACCGTTTTCTTACTTAGGAGATGTTTATTGCATTCTCTGTAACCACTTCTTACTCGGTTTGCTTAGCCCAATACAAACCTCACAGTTAATGGCCTCCTCATTATTTCAACTGCCTAGAGAAACTCGATTTAATTCAAGACCAATACCACTGCAAGGCTATTGTAGCTCTAAAATATTTCGTCGTCAGTCTATTGGAAGAAAAGAAAAAGAAATAAATTTTTTAAAAGTCTGGAAAATAGCCACCAAGAACAAAGGTACAGGCTGTGTTAACCAGCATGGCTGAATGACATCCAGGATTTTATATTTTTCCATTAGTGCTCCATGGAGCTCAGTATTCCCCCAGTCCTCCAAAATTTAAGGGTTTGTTTTTGGTTTTGGATCTATGTCTCCAAATCCGTGGCTATGAAAACATGAAACAACTGCAAATCACTACAGCATTAATACCCAAATTTGGCAGCCAGACTAAATCAATTGTGTTTGGAAAGCGTGAATTGCCTCATGCATTTCAATGGGTTCCCTGGTCACTGTACACAATTATTTGGATAATGAGTTTTTTTAGCTGCTTCACCAATGATTGTGTTACTAAAATATATTCATTTCTGAATACCAGTTGCTTTCTAGCCAGTGGTCAAAACCTTTCAGATTCATCCTTCACAATTCCTGTGGCATATTGGTGAACTGGCAATACAGACATTTTATATAGCATGAAACCCAGATACTGCATAAAACACTGAATATACAAGGAAAACAAATGTATGAACATATTATTCACAACCGCACAAAACTTGGCAATTTTCAGAGTGGCTGTTTGGACTTTCCAGTCTGCCCTGGAGACCTCATGTCATGGCAACTGGGAGCATTGTTGCAACCTTCAGGTCCCACTTGTCACCAAACATCCAGGTGTACATGCCTTGTGTAAACTGATCTGTCAGCAAAAGAAATTATCAGCTTTACATTGCAATGGAAAAGCTTACACTTTTTTCTGCTGCGTAGGAGTAGACATGGAGAACCAAGACTTGTTTGCAAAGTCACATGTTGGTAATATGTGGCAGGATGAACTTTATTTTAAAGCCAAACTGAGTTTGGCATTCAATTGTTTTAGTTAATGTGGTTTACATCTGGGGTTTTTTGTTTGAGTTTGTTTGATTTGGGTTTTGGTTTTTTGTGGGTTTTTTTCTTGTGTGTTTTTTGGTTTTTTTTTTTTTTTTTTTTTAATACAACAATACACTGCAGGACTTGTTACCTGTTTTACATAAGTTTGTGTGTATTTCTTTTTCCACATGAGAACTGTTGTGTCTTGTAGAGCACCTATACAGTTGTAGTAACCATGTAGTAACCATGTCTGTATCTGCAGTTGTGCAAGGGGCAGACAATCTGGGAAAAGGCCCAAGTACTCGAAATGTTCTGATTTTTTTCCAGTACACTGATTGCTCTAACAAGGGCTACTACTTTTCTTTGCAAACCTTACTTGCTTTATATTGTAACCACTTTAATGAGATCGTACCACTTTATCTACCTGACAGGCCATAGCAGAATAAGCTGTGCTCTGTAGGCATGTTCCAAGGAGCATGAAAGGTGAAACTAGAATAGGTGGCTGCATTTTGGAGCTGCATTTTAAGCAACAGCTATTCCCTGCTTCCTTCATGGCCAGCTCACAGGCAGGGTAGTTTCTTTCCTAAAGTTTTAATGGTTTTCAAAGAGCTGCTTTGATCAGCCTACCTTGCCCACACCCTTTACCACAGTTACCAGGGAGTGTTCATGTGAGGAAACCTACTGGTACAAGTAGTGAGGATGTAATGAGTTACCACCAGCCTCCATGGAGGCTGTTCCTGAATCAGAATCATGGTTATTGGGAATTAATTACTCTATTGACAAGCAAAGAGCTCATCACTTAGCAACTACATGTGCACTGTAAGGAAGTATTTTGCCTGAATCTGACTCTGAATCTCCCAGGCCCACTCAGCTCCATGTTCAGGGATCAGACCTGCCCAACAGCTGCAGCTCTACACTCCTCTCCCAGCACCGCTGATATCCCTGGCAGCAGCACTGTGCCACAGCCTCTCATTGCCTCACTGCAGCATCGCTCATCACTGAGCCCCAGGTCCTTTGCCAGGAGAGCAGACATACCAGCCTGTGCCTCCTCATCGCATTCTCCCATAAGTGATCAGTTGTGCAAGCATTTTTGCCCTTCCAGATCAAATAACCTGACCCAAGGTGTCTCACATGATGGGACACAGGGAAATTGAGAAGTCCGAATTGCTATGGTGTCACCTTTCTAAAGTGAAGCACCTGAACCAACAACATTTTTATGCTTTTCAAGCCTGGGGACTTTCATTTTTTTATCATCCCTCAGAAAAAAAATGCAGTAGAACTGTTCTTCACAGAAACAAACTGAGGACAAAAGACACTGACAACCAAACAGAAATAATAATATTGAGACTATACATATATGATTTGGCTGAAGCAGCAGAAGGAGAAGGTCTAACTGAAAATACCATGTAGATACCTTCTGATTATCTCCAGGTCCCAAAGCCACACTGATGTGTAAAAGATTCCATCCCACCAGAGAATGAAAAAGCACGCCTAAATGCCTATGGCATGCTGCAAGCTAAGCAAAACTGAGCTGCTGACTTTGTGAACATGTGCTCAATGTGATGTAATTATCATATCATTTTGCAGTGCACCATCAAGAATTTGAGCAGGAAGAGTTTTGTCTTCTCTGCTGTGTTACTTAAAAACCAGTAAAGTACATTCTCCAAGCAGCACTGCCACTGTGGGTATTAAAGTGACGGTGATTAAAAGAATTAATGTTTATTTATTTTTAAATCAATGCTTTATATTTACTTGGATTCATGGAAGAAATAAAATTTTTAATCTTCCTGCAATTCACCCAACTGGTAAATATAAATGAAATATTTTTGGGGGTGTAAAACTGAAATATGCTGTCTTGCAACTTCTGATTCTGTTCCCTGCTATAAACTAAAAAATCAGAATATTATGACTCTGATCATGGTACTTTTATCTAGAGTGGGATCAACCCTCTGTATTGCTGACATTCTTGATACCTGAGCAGTCATGACAAATTGACAATTTCAGAACAGCAGCTGGCTGTTTATAACTCTTGAAAATATATAGTTTTCTCTAGGGAAATGTATCTTCTCAAAGTTCAGAATGGTAAATAAAGTCAAGCCTGGTTCAACAATGGCTTTCAAAGAAAATATTCTGCAGTTCCCAGTACTGCCTTCCCATCCCAGCCCCAAGAATAAGAGATGTAATGAGAAGTGGCTGCTATTTGGGGACACCAGCAGCTACTTTGCTCACTGGCCACCGACATCCAGAGAGGGCACAAGCTCCTGCAGAGAGCCTGTCTCCCCCGGGAGCTGCAGCGCTGCCAATGTCACCTTACCCCTTGTTTCTTTTTCCAGATCATTAACTGTTAAACAGGGAGAGAAAGCAAAAGCGAGTCCTGTTGCCCTGAGAACAGCAAAACATCAAGAAAGGACGATTACATTTTGTCAATCTTCTTCTAAAGCAAGTGTAGGGGACATCTTTGCCAAAAATAAACAAGAAGAAGGGTGGAAGTACTTCCACAGAAAACAAACATCCCTAAAGCTCTTTGACTTTCTTCTGCCAGTGTGTGCCTGTGTAAAACAGGCTTTGACAGCAAGCCCTCACTGACTGTGCCTGACAGGGCCCAGCTATGACCACCCCCTGTGTGCTAGTGGCTGCTCGGAGGCAGCAGGGCAACAGGCACAGGTAGTAGGACTGGGGTACCCAAATAGGATGGCAGCTGCTGCCAGAGAAAGCCTGGAGGTAGGCGTGGGCAGCACAGCAGAGTGGCACGGTCGCTAGCTGGCTCCAACCCCAGATTTTTGTTGGACTGCAATGAAGTCTCAATGTACCTTTGATGTTTCACTTTAACCCCAAAAGCTGATTTCTCACCTTCCTGAAACTCTCTCAAGAGCATGGGAGTTTCCCCGCTGTAGTAGATGGCTGTCTCCCCCAATGTATCCACTATTTTCAGACCAGAATAGCTTTCAACTTTGTGTCCCAAGTGGGAATTTCCAGCTGTAACCTGGCTGCACTTTCAGTACGGTAAGCAAGCAGGCTGACTGGCAGCCACATGATTTGCTCTTGACATTGAACTGTTTGTTCTTTTCACATTCTGGCCACTTCTACAGTGCCTAAGCATCGCTCATAAAACATAAAGGCTTGAAAATGTAACCTACGAAAAGCTGAAGAACTGCTTGGCTAGTACTTCTCAACAGTTAGACCCTTTTCAACACTGTTAGTCTTGGTTTCTAAGGGTCTATGTATCCCAAACACACCAGTGCTGCTATATTCTGGTCACACAGCTCATTGAGATGCATAAGCATGTGCCATACTGCACCCAGTTCCCTTCCTCCAGGTACCAGCAGCCTCTGATGCAGCTGTATTGATCAAAAAAAAAAGATGAAACCGGGGTGTACCCAGCTATCAATGCTATCTGACCTGAAAGAAGTCTGATTAGGATTTTAGAAAGTCCTAAGCAGACTTTTTGTCAGTTCCCTTTGATTTTAAGGATATTAAGGGATACATGTAGAGATGTAGAGGAGCAGAGCAGAAGCTGGGCTTTGTCATCTGCTTTAGTAAAGCCTTATTCCCTTCCTTGAAGGCCAGCCGCAACTGGGTTACGGTGCCACCTCCCTGAACCTTCTGGATGGTGTGCCCTCCTGGAGGCACTAGGAGGAAGCAGTCTCTGTACTCCCCCTTGCAAGGGCTGCTATCACAAGGAACTATCCAGTCATTGCAAATAAATTTTTTGGAAGTTTATTTCCTTTTGGACTGGGCAAGTGTCAGAAACTGTCTCCTGAAATGACTGAGATGCAACTCTTCTGGCACTATTCCACTATTAAATAAAGATGAGTTGTAACACTGAGCTTTGCAAAAAGCATAAAAAAATGCTGATCAGAAAGATTTGTGTAAATTCTTGGCAAAACTCAAGAAGGGAAGGATAGTTTAATCTTTACAGATTCATGGTTGCCTATAAGAAGGGAAAAGGCTTGACGTGGCTGTGGTTCAAATAACTAATTTTCAGTGATTTGTTTCTGCATCCTATATTTTGTCTGATTTATCACTATACCTCCATCTTGAATTCCATCAGCGTCTGTTCTCTGAAACAGTGCCAGATTCCAGCATGAACGTTCAGAAGGGAGAGAAAATACGATATAAATCCAAACTGATTTGAATTTCTGCTTCAGTATAGCTTCCCATTAGGACCACACCGGCAGCAGTCATGGAAGTCCTTGTGTTATCTGCACAACAGCCTGTATCTCTTTAAGCACTCCCCTGCCAGCATTAAAAGTCCTATACCTGTAACATTGCACAACATGTTTATTTTCTTGTTAGTTTTGAGCCACTGGTTAAAAGAGCCAGACTGGTTGATCATCAAATCTCTAAACATCTGTACTATATTTTTTAACTTTTCTATTGATATGCATATTTGTTCTCACTAGAAACTTACTGCCTATGTTCAGTTAGATTAAATAAGCCATTACAAATGAACTTTAATGGTTGGTTTTATGAATCTACTTTCTCTGGGAATAAGCCAGTAGTGATTGCCCAGTTTGCCTCCAGAGGGTTGCTCCGGAGTTGCTTTGACTCCACAGTCGGGACATGGAGGAAAGCCCATATTTGAGGGGACAAAAGCCTACATTTGGGGATTTCCATGCTCAGTCTGACAGGTAAGCATGTCCATGAACAAAGCCCTTGACAAGAACCAGCGCTGTGAGGTATCTTAGCACATGTTTTAATAGTTGACTCATTGCTTGCGATACAGAAACCTCGGGGCTATAACCCAAGTGGCACAGATTTTTCAGGGATATCTATGAAAGTTCACTCCTTTTTGAAAAGGACTAAAGACTAACTTCTTGGGTGGGGTGATGGTGGGTGTTGGTGAGGTGATGGGAAAGACTAAAAAAAGAAAGCAAAGCTAAGAAGATCCCAGGAAATAATTTACCAGCTCTCCTCCAGAGTTCAACTCAGTACATGCATTTAATTCCTGATACCTGTTAAATCTGCTCCATACAGCTGGAAGTCTAGAAACTTTGATGGACTTCTCAGGTAAACTGCTCCACTATTTCACTACTTTTAGCATTGGAATGCTTTTCCTGTTGCCGAACCTTGCTGTAAGGCAAGATGTCTTTCCTGTCATATCCACCCCCAGACAGAATAAACTATTCATTCCTCTTTGCAAAAGTCTTTTTCATGTTTTATGCACTCAAATACAATTATCTATTACTCAAAGTAACATTTATCTATTTCAGATTTTTTTAAAAATCCATTCCTTATACATGCAATATAAATTATTTCCAAGTTAGAATCGGTTTTCCACAATATGTCCAAGTTAGTTTACCCAAGGGAAGTATTTATAGATTTTACCGAGTAATCAAGAAAATGAGGTTTTACAGGTCAGAAAATTATACCATTTCCAAAATCAATACTCCCACAGCACGTAAACACATGCTCCTTGGTTTCTCAGTACATAATACCCTGCAGACAAACAGACCATCCAACCTCTGTCAAATCTATAAGCTCCAGTAAGTAGTAGAATTGCCTGAAGTTTGCACTATTTTCTCAGGAAAAGTGATTGAATTAAACTAAGGCAATCATTTTCTGAAATCAGAAGGAAGTCAGTCTCAACTAGCTCTGAAATACCTATCACATGGGCAATGATATATTTCTGCATAGGTACACTTATAAGCAAAATATTTATCATCAGTTTTTTAATGGTATAATATATTTATAGCAGTTCTTCCAACATATCACAGTCAAGATGTGATATTTTGATTTTAAGGCTATCAGAAAACATATGGTATGCTGTTAAAGAGAAGCGTTATGCAATAACTGAAAGTCTCCTCATCATCCTTAATAAACAAAGTTTAATTATTATAGCCTTACCTAATGGGCAGAAAGGAGCTGTTAAATAATTTAAGATCCTGTTCACTGCAGGTTAGAGAGATAAACATCTTTCTTACTAAGGTGTACCTCAACATTTCCATGCTTTGAGTGCTGACAGAATAATTTCCAAGCTTTTTCTTCAGATCTGCAGAAAAGCAAGCAAAAGGTTCTGCCAAATCAACTTCTGAAGTATGTTTGTCCCAATTTAAGCTGCCTATGATCTAGAAAAGCCTCTGGAACCAAGTTTTGCTTCTTGTTGTCTACTGATTTGCAGGAGAATGAGGTTTACTAAACAGTAGCATTAGCTGCAGCAACTGCAAGCAGAGGTACATCTGGTTCAGTCATGTGTTTGTAGTGCATTTGTTATATTTTTGTATATTCATAGTACTGTTTCAATGAGGTCTTGAAAATATTCATGTAGAGACCGCATTATTATTTTCTACCTACCCAACAATAAATATTGGAAACATTTGGATATTTCCAGGGTTCTGAGGTATCAGTAGCCACTATATTTAATTGTTTTCTAAACTGAAAGAGGATTATGTTATTCACAGTAAATGGAGCTCTCACTCTAAAAAGCTATGCTACTTCAGAAAAGAGTAGAAAGTTATATTGAATTTGCTGTCATAATAAAGAGATTTATGTAAATGGCTGCAGAGACTAGGATTGCTGTTTGCCACTTTACAATGCTAATTTTTGTTTTTCTCTCTGAAAACTTATTGAATTTTTATTGTAGAAGTTATATTACAGTTATTTTTTCTAATCTACTCTGCTTTCCTGATGTTTTACATCTGACAGTACTCCATCAGTTATAAAGAAATTCTTTCTGCATGTGCTGATAAATCTGATGTCCATGTACCTAAACTGATCCATGCAAAGTCATTCCTCCTCTCAGGAAGGCAATGCAGAGCATTTCTTCCAACACAGGCAGGAGCAGACATCTTGGGGAAAATGCTACCTTCATACTCATGGTCCTAATCCATGGAGACCAGTCAAATCAATAACATATCACTAGTGTTTCAAACTGGTCTTGTTTCACAATCAGCCTACAGGCCACAGATGTACTCTATTCAGTTAATGATAATGGAATTCAGTAATGAAAAATGGAATTAAACTCAGCCCTACATCCCAGAAGCTTGACCAATTAAGCATAATCACAGGTTCTAGTCTTTTATATAGGCCATAGCTATATTAGAAATGAAAGTAAATGTAAAGCATATTTCAATGTGGAATGTAAGCTCTTATTTGATTGAATTCAAAAGTTTCGTGTCTCAGTAAGTAGTAGGCACCAGCCTTCTGGTACTGTCTGTGAGAGGAAGTCAGAGGACCTTTCCGAAGGAATAAAATCCTTATCTGTTTTTCACTCAGCCAGACTCTTCAGACTTCAACCACAAGCCTTCGGACAACATCCACAGATCCTCCACTCCAGGTCTTCTGAAGGCATTCTTGTCCTCATGTCTTTTCTGAACTCTCACTCAGTTCTTCTCCCCATCTCTGAAAGCAATGTTTTTCTCTCGCCAGTTCCACAACCAAGTAATGAAATCCTCAGTTTATGACTTCTCTGACTGCTCAGCAAGTGCCAGTAATGTAGTAACTCTTTATGGGCTGGTGGTCTCACCTATTTATAAGCTGCAAGATGAACGTTTCCAGAGGGCCTTGTTATGACTACTGCGCAGAAATTTCCATGCTGTGCCTGAACGAAACAGCATTCCATCACACTCCACCACAACACACTTCATGAAATGTTAAATTGACTTTCACAATAAAGCATATTGTATTTACATAGTCACTAACATCAACTTTTCAGAAGTTCTCCTCTTCACAGAAGATTTCTTTACCTGGGGTATAGGTACAGCACTTAAAGAGTAGTGTTATATAATGATTTCATGGATGAAGTCTGTCATCCTTAGCTATGGTTTAACAGCCTTTTCTTTAGACGACAGATTTTCTTGTATTTGTCCAAAGACTAGGGCTCTTCACAGTAAAGACAAGCACCTACAGAGAAAACAGATCCCACTGAAGATAGATCTTTAAACCTTAACTCACACCACAGAGAAGGCAAGGGATGCTCCTGAAAATAAGCAGTAGCCAATCACACACCTTCAGTACATGAAAGTACGTTTTCCCACTGAGCTCAGATCAGCCCTAGCAGACTGTGTCAGCCCTCCTGTCATGCAGCTGTATCTTTTCTTCAGCTGTGTGTAGGAGAGTTGGTCAACCCTCTTGCCTATGAAGTGTAAATACAGCCTCTTCACTGATCTGTCACCTGTTATGTGCGTGTGAGGGACATTCCCCACACTCAATGAGCCAAGGACCTCTATGTAATGCACTGTCCCTTAAGCAGGACAGTCACATTGGCAGTTAGCACCACAATCTATTTTTCTATCAAGTTTTTCTTTCATTCTCTCTCTGTCACAGAGGAAGTGCCACATACTCACAAAACCTGGCAGCCCTCCATCCCAGGGTATTCCTGAGCCCTTCCAGTCAGGTTCTCCTGCTCTGCTCTCTCCATCCACTGCAACAACTGCTGTCCATGTCCTGAGCTGAAGACACACAAATACACTGCACCCATCTTTGCACAGCAGCACTGTTTCTGTGACCAAAGCAGGAATGATGCTACACGAAGAAAGAAAAAGAATAAAAAAACTAATCCATTCTTCAGAGGTTATGAGAAAGTGAGACACCAGATCATTTT